GGAACCCCGCCGCGCCTGGCTCGGCTCGTGCTGGCTTGGCTTCGGCGTACCTGAGCGCCCCCTGGGGCCCGGAGATGAAACGCCCTGCCTTCGGGTAAGCAGCAGGTACTGTGCAACAGGGAAGAGGCTGCGGGGGAGGCGGGCGGGTCCCACGTGCGAAGGGGCCAGGCGCGGTGCCCAAGGGGGACTGTCGGGGCGGAGCGGGACAGCGGGTGTGGACGGATGGGGGGCTGTCCTGCAGTCCGCGCCCGAGGCTATGGGCCGGCACTAATGGCTTTAACAGCGAGGAGTCGCCCCTGTGTGCTGGCATAGGGCCGGCCAGGCACAGAGGTGCGGGGCGGGCCCGGAGGGGTTATCCCGGTAACCAGGAGAGGGGCCGGAACCCCGGTAGGGAGCGGGGCTCAGACCGCGGACTTAGCAGGTAGCTTTGATGTGGAAATGACAAGGCGTTTTGAGGAGGAGGGGAGGAAAAGCAGGGTTTTAAATGACTCGACACCTCAACTGAGAGGATCTAACGACGGGGCGTTTGCAAACCGCGCCTTCCCCAGGCGGTGACGGTGCGGGCAGTGAGCCGGGAGGTCGTTCTTCTGCAGGTTTCCTGATTCCCATGCCTGGGGCTTCACTTTTACATTTCCTTCCCACCGGGAGCTTTTCCGCTGCCGCTCTTCTCCCTTGAATGCCCGTGTGTGCTCCTGGGCATCAACCTCTGTCCCTTCCGCGGCAGCCCAGCCCTCCACCAAGCCGTGAAGGCCGTCTCTCCCAAGCAGGCCCCTGCGCCCCACACCCCGGGCCGCGGTTGTCCTAGCGATCCCAGAGGAAGGAAGGAAGGAAGGAGGAGGCATGGCCCGCTTCTCACCGCGCATCATCTCCTATGCTGCACCTTTACGGTACGCCGGTGCCCTAGATCCCGACTGCTAATCAGACTGGCGGTCTCAGGTCAACACCAAGGTGCAGGAGCTGGGGATTTAGCTCAGTGGCATAAGCGCCTGCCTGGCAAGCGCAAGGTGGTGAGTTCGATCCCTGGTACCGAAAAAAACCAAAACACAGCAAAACAGAGACCAAGGTGCAGCTGTTCTTTCGGGGGCCCATTCTGAACAACTGAATCACTTGGCTGGCAGGAAGCGGAGAGAGGGAGGAAAGGGAGTGTGAAGCAGTCAAGGACCACGGGGCCAGAGGCTACCATTCCATAGGACAGCCACTTCCACGGCTTTCATACTTGCACAGAGTCACCAGACCCCGAAGGCTGTTAGGAGATAATTTATTACAGACTAGCCTATAATCTGTTGTAACAATGGCACGTACAACAATTAAAAACAGCAAAGATGCTTGGTTCTTGTTTCATGTATTGGCCAGTACAGTTGTGAACAATGCTGCACCCTCAGAAGTTTAGGAGCCCGTCATCACGGAAACCCAAGGACCATCCCACAGCTCTGAGTGAGAGTCACTGACCTCCCAGGGGTTGCTGAGCCCACCCCTTCCATCCAACCTGTACAGAGGGATCAGAGTCCAAGCTCTTTCTGTGGGGCTGAACATCTATGAAGGGAACAGCAGCTGACCCGGATGGCAGAAGAGAGGACAAGGGCTGGATTTTTTCCACAGCGAGGACAGCCAGAAGGTAGTGGCCATAGGTGAGCATGACTCGAGTTCCATAATTTCTGAGTTTGTTCAGGGCCTGCCCAGGAAAATACTCCCAGATCCTTCATCTTGCCCTCAGGTCTATACACGTCAGAACAGCCTTTAGTGTTCTAAGCACTAGTCCCCTGCCTAAGGAACAAAGTAGGGAGTGTCTAGGGAGATTCTGGGTTCCAAAGAAATATTCTGCTCGGGGCTCTGAAGCACCACATGAAACTGGTTTTACCCATGACAGATATAACCTGAGGGAAGGGATTAGCACAGCTCAATTTTAGAAGGTAGCTTGTTCAGTTTCAAAGACTTGTTCTCATTGGAGCCACACTAAACCAGTGGATTCTGCTCAAGGAACAGTGAGTTGTATTCTAGGTGGCTCTGCCCTGGCTGCTTTCTCACACAGATCACCGGGTTCAGCAATACCCTCAGCCTCAGCCAAATAGCTCGCCAGCCTGGTACAAGCTCAGGGCTGTCTGCACTTGCTCTCCCAGTGACTGGTGTGTATCTAACAGGGTGGTGTGGCCGGAGGAAGGGTGAAGAGGGTACGGGGTGTAGCGGTGTGTCTACCAAAATAGCTGACACTGTCAGCAGTGTCTGTCCCTCTCCCTTTTTGGAAATTCTCTCCATGTGGTAGCTCCTAAGGTCCAACTCCTAGTACCACAGACCCGCTGGTTAGGGATTCATGTCCTTCCTGTGAAAAGCCATTCTCTCAGCTACCTCCAAACTTAAGTATCCTGAAGCGAAGGCATCAACCTCTTGACTATAAAAACCCTAAGTTGGCTACACAGCTAACCCCCATTAGCCCAGATCTGTGCAGTCCGTGCCACCTCATTGGCACATGAATCAAAGATGTTCAGCTCCCCTCCTCGGTGGAACGAGACTCTGATTTGAGTTTCACGAACTCTCGGGCAACCTCATCATTGCTCCTCTGAGACAGGATCCGGAGAATGGTCACGCCGGTCTCATCCATGTGGATCTTCCGGCCCAAGGGGCACCAGCAGGCACAGCTGCCCTTGGCTACCACATCCCTTAGAGGCATCACTGCCAGCCCTAGCACACGATCTTCCCGGGCAAAGCAGTAATCCTTCACGCACACCTGCAACTCATAGGTCTCGGGACCCTCTTCATTCCCTAGAAGGCTGTGAGCACAGGAGAGAGGACAGGGTGGCAGAGCTGAGTCCCGGGCCGCCCTCAGCCCAGTCTGCCATCCAGACTGCCCCTTTTCTCACCTCTCAGTGTCAGCCCCCATCACACGACCCCACCCCGCAGCCCGGCAGCCCCCATAACTTACAAGTGGAACGTCTCGTTGTACTTGGGAGCCCAGTTGTTGCTTTTGGACTTGGTGGTGAACTTCCTCTTCTTATCACTTTGGTGAGGACCCACCATGGTCACTTCCACAAAGGGCCGGAACATGCCTGCTGTCTGCCACTTGAGGTCATTGGCAGCCACAACTGCCCAAAAAAGGGAAACCTGTGCGGGATCTCACCAAGCAGTCCCCGTTCTTGCGCTCCAGCTAACATTCCCGATGGAGAAGGGCTGAGCTGGAGGACTGCGATGAGTGGGCCTTGCCCTCAACTGGCAAGTAAGGTCATGGGCAAGAAGAGGACAGAGCTCTAAGTCTACACCACTCACCTTTCACTGTGACTTTGTGTTCCCCAGTACCAGGGTGTGTAAACAAGTCCACCTGAATAGAGACTTCTCCCACAGGATCCTCCACACCAGACCCTGAGACAGATGGACAGGTAACTGCTCAGTGGAGAGCGCTGGGACCTCTGGACTAAGTGTTTCAGGTAAAGCTGAGGGGTTAGGTAGCCACCATCCTACGAACAGGAAGTAACTGCCCACAGTAGCCACAAGGAGAAGGGAAAGAAGGGGGACAGGGAACGTGACTAACATCAGTGAAAGCTGAAAGCACCGCAGGAGAAGCTTCCTTCGAGGGTACACTCTGAATCTCCCAGGATCCCCAACCTCTCCTATCTCCAAGGCTGAAGAATTTCTCACTGGATATTGGGAAGCACAGGGCTGTGATCCTGTGTCTGGGAATTATGTCCAATCTGTGGGGTCTCTGAACACTGTTGGTCCCCCTCTAGGCAAAAGCAGCAACCTCCCACCTATCCCCAGGACTCCTAGGGCCCCTGCTTGGAAGGCCACCCTCCTCAGAAAGACTCGATAGTACCAATCTCTGAAAAGAGCCAACCTCAGCTCCTCTCAGCAGAAATCCCACCCTATTTTGAGAGAACATCACTACCCTGCACCTCAGATAAAACTTCTTTGTCCTGAGGGGTGTGAGTGGAATTCTGAGGACAGAATAGAGTCAACAACAGAATCCCTTCCTGGGCTATGCGAATACATCACCCATCTCCTAGACTTGGGATAGAGCTTCCGAATTCTGACACCTGGTTCACCACCCCCAGCATAAGCCCCTCACTCCAGTTCAGAGGTCAGCATCAGTCCATGTTAGATTCAAGTCCGCACAGTATTTAACGTACCCTTTTCCGGCCGAATGTCCTCGTTAGCAGTAAACCTAATACCTTTCCCATCATGCACTGAGTGAGGACAGGCAAGTCAAGAGGTAGTAGCAGCAGCAGGATAGAGAAAGAAGAACTGTTAGAGGTCAAGGGAGTTGCAGCCACTCAAAGCAGCATTACACATACTCTAGAGGAGCACAGAGGTGGAGCAGGGTGGAGAAAAGTTCAAGAGCAGGGGTCAGTGCCTGAATGTTCCACATTAGACTTCATGGGTCAGAGATCAACCACATCATGGGCAGATGCACTAAAATACACTGAGCAGGGCCGGAGGGAGGTTGTGGTGTACTTTCCTAGGCCCTTAAATGACAAATTTTGGACAAAAATGAGCACGCATGCTTGGTTTCCCTGCCGGTGCCCTTCCAGCCTCTCCGCCGGTATTTGGTGTGGTATTTTATATTAAAGGAGTACTAGGGGTTGAAACCCAGGGCCTTCACAGAGAGTTACATCTCCCGTCCTTTTAAATTTTTTATTCACTATTTTATTAGTCACAAAGTGCCGAGGCAAGGCTGCACTTCAGAGGCTCCTGCCTTGCCTGAGTGTGTACAAGCATGTGCCCCGCACCTGGGTCCTTTGCTTTTGTCTAGTTCACAGCTCAAAGCTGTTTCTTTTGCTCACTTTCCCCACCCTGGACTGACAGTAAGAACAGCTATGGGAAATGCTGCAGGTCCCCTCCGCATCCTCACCTCCTGTCACCTCAGTCTGCCCGCTTTCATTTCTCCTGTCCTGGGCTCTGTGTCCCAGGCCACAGCTCAGAAAGACCCAAACCACCTCTCCTACCATCAGGTTCTTGCCCCTGGGCAGCCTGCCCAGGTCCCTGGAACGAACAGTAGTAAATGTGCCTGAAGGTGCCTTCTGGGAGGGCCCTGCTCCAGGATCAGTCTGAGCTGCATCTGTGCGGATGAGTGCTGGTTGGCGAGGCCTCAGCTAGCGGCAGTGAGTGCTGAGGACTGGAAATCCCTGAGACCAAACCGGCAGCCCAGTCCCCGGTGTGTGACAACCACCCATGGGCTGAGGCCCCCACCTTCCCTTTGGCTGCTTCCATGGCTCGCTTCTCTCAGTCTCCTGGTCCACACTGGGGCGTGTGGAGAGGACTTTGCCTTCTCCCCCAGGACAGCTCCCAGCAGAGCTCCCCCACGCATTCTCAGGCTTCCTCGCAGACTGTCCCTGGCTCCCCTTACCAGACAGGGCTCATTCCACGAGCTAAACAAACGCGCACGGCCAGGCAGTGTCTGGGAGGAAGAAGTCTCAGGCACAGGCTTCCAGGCTCTGCTCCTGCCTGGTACTGGGGCTGGGGTGATAAGTGAGATCTCTGCAAAGAATCCTGAGGTCCAAGTGTGAAGGGCTGTCTGAAGAAGAAGAAACCAGATCCTCCCGAAGGGCTGGGGGACGCTGACTCCCTGCTGGCAGATGTGTACGGGGGCGGGGAAGATGGGACACAAAGCCCTGTGGCCTTACCCTGGGCAGTCTGTGAGCGCACAAAGGTCTTGATGAGCGTGTCTGTGGTCTGTGTGTACAGAGACAGGGCATAACGCAGGGACTGCAGATCCGGACTCTTCTCTAGGAAGGTTTTCTTTAGCCCATTGCCTCCTGCATGGAAGTATTGCTGAAAATAAATGAGCACCTGCTTTACCCCTCACAGAGAGGCAGCTCCCCAGCTAGCCTCGGAGAAGCCAGCAGAGGATTGCAAGAACGGGTCACTTGACAGATCAGGAACACCCACAGAATGAGTCAGTCTCTCAGGCAAAGCATGTAATTCAGGCATTTGGCAGGAGCAGAGGGGAGGGCCAGATTCCTGGAGGTGGGTAGTTTGAAGGAGGGTCTATCTGGTCAGGCAGAGATATGGGACGAAGCATTTCAGGCAGAGAGAATGGCCAGAAGTACTTCTATCCCTCTGAACCTTAGGGAACTTGATGCCTAGGACATATACCTTCCAAGTGCCTTGAATTATTGTCCATATGGACCTGCCTTGTTCCTGCCTCACCCATCGTAAGTGTCCTAAACTGAGGGACCATCTCTGGTTCTCTCCGTAACCCTGACAGTACACAGGGCCTCCCATTGGATGTGGAGCCCCAGGGACCCTTGTCTGGCGAGGTGGAATGCCTGGGCCAGGTGTGTGTGGTGGTTAGAACTATGTAGAAAAGGGAGAGGTCTCCACCTTGATGGTGTCCAGAGCGAGGTCCAGGACTGCACACTGCTTTGGAGTGAGGTTCCGCGTTTCCTCTCGCACCATGTGGTCCTAGAGCCCCAGAGAGAGCAGCAGCATCAGGGCAGCTCAGGGCAGCCATGGAAGTCTTGCCCCACCTGCCAGCCAACAGCTGCACACCCTTCCCTTCCCCTCCTCTCCACGCTCAGAGCCCACTGGCTCTCCTCCCAGCCCCAGGGATCCCACACCCGCAGAACCTTGAGTTTGGAAAGCTGGCTCAGCTCCTTGGCAGCAGTGAAGATCAGCTGGGTGCCCTGGGCAGAGAGGGGATCCGTTAAAAGCAGAGGATTCTACACTCCACCAGGAAGCAGGGACTGAGGGGGAGGGACACAGGAGCAGGCATTAAGGGGAAGAGGTCTTTACCGTCTGGTCAGTGAGGGGGGGCAGGACGATCACCCTCTCCATCGTGTTCATCACCACCCGCCAGAGCTCCTTCAGGACTCGCTTCAGAACTGTCTTCTCGCACACGGTGGCAAAGAGTGTGAGGCTGCGGGCCCAGGCAGCAGGTGAGGCCACAGTGGTAGTCTGGGAACCCCCCTCCCCAGCAGGCTTCTCTGTCTCACAGCCTCTGCTTCGCCTGTCCCCACAGGAAATCCTGAATGCTCTACTCACTTGCCATCAAGGAAGTCCATGAGAGGCCGCAGCACACTATCTGCATCCTGAGCCACTGAGGCCCTGGCGCTGGGGGATGCATTTCCTGTGCCCCGAACCTGGCCCAGGATCTCAGCCATTTGTCGAACACATTCATCAATCCGCACCTGGAAGCTACACACATGCCCAGAGTCCAGCCCGCCCGCCCCACCATGCGGACGCTGGAGCAGCATTGGCCGTCCAGGCCTGTCTCCAGGCTCAGGGGGCCCCTCCAGCAGTGACAGCACAAGTCTAAAAGGGGAGCCACACATCTCCAGTGGCTTGAAGGGTGTGGACAAGGGGCCGTGGGACTGGTCAGGAATCACACATGGCTCTCAGGGCTGTGTGTCCTGGGACCACTGACCTGTTTCCAAACACCATGCTGAGCTCATCGAGAACCGCATTCAGTTTCACCTGCAGCTCTTTCAGACTGTCTGCAGCTTCAGGGTCCAGCTGTAGCCAGAAGAGGTGGGCCTGGCCAGGCTGCTTCTCTTACAGTCCTCCCTCCTGCAACTCTACCCCTCCCTCGTAAGGCTGTTCCCCAATTCCTGCTCCTCCCTCCTAGGGCCTCACCACAGTGCCCAGTCCTTCTTCTTAGGGCTTTGCCTCAATGCCTCCCTCAGATTAAGCCAGCCCAGACCCCAACATAAACTTCTAGCCTCTGCTAATTAGGAGAGGACAGAGCTCGTGACCAGGGAGCTCAGGCAGTGGGAAGAGGACGGTGAGCCAAACCCTCAGGCCTACCTCCTTGCCTCCCATGGCTTCAAACATCTTCTCCAGCTGGACCCTCAGCTGCTGCATGTTGTTCATCAGGATGCAAGGCTTTGAGGACAGAGGGTGCTGCCTGGGTCTTGGTTCCTTCCCACACAGGCCCCACTGGCTCAGGGTCTTTTCTTCTCTCTCATTACAAAGCTGCAGGGACTTCCCACATTACATAGATCTCTCCCCAAACACTAAGATCTGGAGCCCATTCACATAATTCTTCTTGAATTAAGATTAAAAGCAAATGTTTTTGTTATTAAGCTGATGGTGGGATTGCAGATATTCACAGTATTACCCTTTATAACTTTCTGAATGTATTAAATTTTTTTTTGAAATAGGATCTCACTATATAGTTCAGCCCAACCTTAAATTCACTATGTAGCCCAGGCAGGCCTCAAACTCATGGCAATCCTCCTGTCTCAGCCTCCCCAGTTCTGGGATTACAGGTGTACACACAGGCAGGCCTGGTGGCTCATGCCTATAACTGTAGCACTGAGGAGGCTGAGGCAAGAAATTTGGAGTTCAAGCCCAGCCTGAACTACACAGTCAGATCCTGTCTCAAAAACAAGAACAAAAACAAAGGTCTAGTTAACTAGAGGATAAAGCACTAAATGGAGGCTCAGAAGAACTCTTAGTCAAGTTCTGTCTTGTGGTAGGGGTCTCAAGCAAAGCTCTGGAGGGAAGCAGAAGTCAAAGCATCTTAGGGCAGCTTCAAGAGCAAGAAGGATTCGAACATCCTGTCTTAGTGCTGACCCTACCAGTTTCTCCTTTGCGCAGTAAGCTGGAAAGTCCTTCGATAAGATGTCTGCATACTGCATCAGCACCTTCCCGATGGTCTGAGGAAAGAGGAGAAAAGGAGAGGAAAGGAGACCCTTTGCTCTCCGCTCAGGACTCTTGCCTGAGCTTGCACTTCTCATCCCAGAAAAATAACATCAGGGAGATAGAGGGAATCTCACGGGAAGGGGCAAAGCTCCCTTTCAGGCACAAAACAGCACCAAAACAGTGCTGTGTCTGTCCCAGACACAAACAAGGGAAAAAGGATAATGTGAGGCCTTACCCAGGCTCCTTCAGAGCCTGATTAAACTCTGACCCGTGACCCAGCTGTGATTGTAGCGGGATAAGGAGGAAGGGCAGGAAGGCCTATAATCACCTTCGCAAATCTTCTCATGTAGTGGGCAAGGATGCTAGGGTCTGGGCATTCCAGCTTCCGGATGATCTCAAAGCTCTGGTTGAGCTGTGTGAAGACATCCACCACAGAGCAGGAGAAGAGCGCGTGCTCTGACGTCTGCTGAAACTGGGCAACACAAGAAGGCAGCATATGGTCCCCGTCCACAGCTGCTACCTCTCCCAGGCTTGCGGGTCTGAAAAGCTCTGCCCAGCAAGGCAGCTCAGTGCTCTCCACAGTCCTGTGGACTCCACAGGGCAGGCGCAGCCAGCCTGGCAGAGGCCCAGGAACTTCTGCCACAGTAAATGCTGAATAGTCCTCGCTTACCCCATCCTTTTTATCTCGTTCCAGGGCCCCACGCAGGAACTCCAGGGACACGTCCTCATTTTCATCTAACCATTGTAGCACAAACTGCTCAAACCACCTGCGGCCAGAGGAGGGGGAAGCTAGTGACTGGCATAGCTTATGTGCCTGACAGTGTACCACACGGGGGTCTTCTGGATGGCAAGGCATGGTATGCCATTCTCCCTAGAACTTTCTGCAGAAATGCCTGGAACAGGCATTCCCGAGATTGGCTGCTGAGCTAATGGAGGATACCAGCCCCGCCAACCCAGGGGCCCTCATCCCATCCCTCTACATGGGGTCCAAATGACTCACGCTGGGTACTCAGGCACCTGCCCCTGGAGGGCAGGCAGATCCCGCACATATTCGTTGTGCAGCCACTTCACCTTGAAGTGCAGATTCATGTAGTCAGCACTCTTACACAGCCGGTCTTTCTCATGCTCTAGTCAGAGGAAGGAGGCTGGGTCAGGTCTCGGCAGTAGAGGCCAGGGTTCCTGAGCTTTGCCACAGCAGCAGATCTGGTATGTGGCTCTACCAGACAGAGGCCTCAGAAGACAGGCAGTTCCCCCACCTCCTCCTCACAGCCGTCTCCCCTGCCATTACTAAGCTCAGCCACTTTCCAAGGCCTGGCCCACATCTTCCTCTCCAGACACTAAGGGAGACTCCCAGATAAAGCTGTTGGTCTTCTTGCTCTAACTTTCGAAAGCACAGTGAGTCACAGGCCTCTGGTGAAAAAGAAAAAGGGCTGAGGGCATTAATGCCGTTGAGTGGGGACAGTGGTTTTATGGAGAGAGACGACGGTTTTCTAGGGTTTTAAAAAATCTTAGTAGCAAGCCATTTCCTAGACAGGCTTACACGCACAGATGTCAAGTTATGCTTGGTACAAATGATACTACATTTGTACCACACAGAGATGATACCACATAAAGCTGTGGAAAACCAAGGGTCCAAATCGACCGGCAGCTGAAGGGCTTTGGAGCAGGGCTGTGATACAAAACATGAGCTCTCAGGAAGTATGCAAATGAGGACAGTCAGCTGGGAAACTATGGAAACGCTGAAATAAAAGGGCTATTATGCTACAGGAAACAGGACTATTATTATGGGTTTGAAAGGTCATCTGACAGAATCTCAAGAGTCTCCTGGGTAACAGATCACTCACATCTGGCTAGAATTCGAGAGCACCTGCCAGACCCACAGGTTCTCCTCTGTTGGGGACCATAAATTGTAAATTGAGGCTGGGGCCAGGAGGCCTTCATGGAGGCCTCAGTGGTCCAGTGAGGCTGGGCTGACCCAGGGCAAGACTGCATCAGCTGAAGACGTCCTGGTTCTTTGAGAGCCCAGCAGTAATAAAAATAGGGTTTCACCTTGGGGAAAGGACAAACTCCTTCACCTGCCGTCCTCGGCCGGGGTGCAGCCTGCCTGGCAAGCCAAGGTCCTGAGTTAGATTCCGGGTACCACACAAAACAAACGCATAAAGTCCCTCATTAGGGTAAGGTCACAAGGCCCCCCTCTGATTACTGCATGCACACTGCAAGTAGTGGCTAGCTCAGAGTATCTTTGTGTTTTCCCATCTTGAGACACTGACCTCCCAGCCCCTCTTTTATGAATTACTAAATTTGTTTCTGTTCTTTCTTCATCCTTTACAGTACCCCTCGTACAGGCAGTCGGGGACCTTGGCTAGGTTCCCGACACTCACTTCCCGACCCCCTTTGTAGTTGAAGCATACAGCTTGAATAATGAATGTAAATTGTGTGCTGGAACTGGATAGTGGTGAGAGCAAGCATGTGGGGGCAAGTACTATGCAGCAGAGAAGGACAGGCCAGTGTCCCTGCGAACTATTGCTCAGCTTTGGGATCCGTTGGAGATGCTCCTCCAGGTCCAGGCAGAATGTCCAATGCAGGCCAAGCCACTGGCCCTTGTGAATGAGTGCAGCAGGCACTCTGGAATGAAATGGAAGCCTGGGGTTCAGCCTCAAAAGACCTCAGGTCCCAGACTTCCAGCTCCTGGCATTGTAGGCAGCATCACCCCAACCTGAAGCTGCACTTGCTGTCTTCTACGAAGCAGTGAGCAGGAGAAGGAAAAGGGATTAAGCCTAGAGGTGAAAGGACAACAACCAAAAGTTCTTACCACCAGGAAAGAGCACTTTTCGAATACGAATGACAGTGGTTGCTTTGACAGAGCAGAGACACCAGTGAGAGACAAAGAGTGGAAAAGCTTGGGCTGTTAGACAGATTCTCTTCTCTGCCCCGTCCCCTGCTGCTCTTAACCGAGTCCTACACTTGGAAACATGAGTCAGCACTGCTGTAAGCAGCTCAGTTACATAAAAATGTTCCAGGCAGTCAGACAGGGCCAGGCCCTCAAAGGAGGAAGACGAGATACCTTGCAACTGGGCACTTGGCTGTGGGCCAGACCTCAAGACAAAAGATGAAACAAATGCACCCGCCTACCTCCCTAGGGATGGACCGCCGGGATTGATACTGTAAATAGGTAGTGGTTGCCTTGAAAAGGCCAGGAGTCACTAGCCCAACCCCCTACAGGAAAGGCCCCTGTTCTGTATTCATGCCCGCTTGCTCCCTGACTCGCTTCCCCATTTGATCCTGACTTGATCAATTTTACCTGAGTAATTATGTTTGTAATCTTATTGGCTGACCATAGTTTTGTCCCCCCTTATGCCCACCTTACGATTTCCCATTTTGCCCCAACCTTGGACCCGCCTCACCTCGTGGTTTTGCTTTGTAAAATCCCCAGGAAAGGCAGGGTCCTTGGCAACCTACTTGGGACCCCTTCTGTCCCTTTCTTAGAAGCTTTCTTTCCCTCAATAAGTATATTTTTCTCTTAACCGCCATTGTTCCTAAAATTCATTCTTCGATTTTAGAGAACACGGTCTCATCCCAGATACCTCTCAGGTTGGGAGTTTCTTTCTCCTGTATCTCCTGTGCTTGATAGCACCTCCAGGAACACCTTAGCCCTTCCTGTCTGGCGACTGGTGACTCCTCAGAGTGGGGGCAGGGCCGCTCCGTGACTCCAGAGCTTCCCAGTGCTTCGTGCTTCTCAGCACTTTCGAGTTACTGTATTTTGCTATGGCTTATATCTGGATGTCCCTCCACAGCCTCACTCACTCCTTCATAGGTGGGGCTTTTTCGGAGGCAGCTGGGATTAAGGGTGCGTGATAACTACATTGGTTTAGCCTGGTTCTGGGTGTGGATAATGGAAGGCCCACCCTGCAGTGGGTGGCACCAACCGACATGCTTATAGTCTGAATGGAATATAAAGGGACAGAAAAGAAGGCAGGCTCGCTGCCTGCTGCCCGCTGCCTCCGGTCCGCTCTGCCTGGACTGTTTCTCCTCTGTGATGTGTGTCTGCCATACCTCCCGGCTTCGGAGCCAGGTGACTATGGACTGAAACCTCTGCAGTGAGCCGAAACAAGGCTTTCCTCCTTTACTAAGACATATTTACATACAATTCTCTCTCTCTCTCTATCTAGCCATTATCTGTGCTCTGGCCCCAATTTCTACGTTAAATATTAACTTTCGTGGTACAAACACTACCAGGTGAGAGCCAAAACACTGGTCATACTTCAGACATTACTCTGTCGGGGCCTAGGAGTTCCGCTCCAGCAAAGCTGCTTGAGGCAGCTGTAGCCCCTGCTGGTGGTGGGGTTAAGTCCACCACGAGAGGGACTCACGTTTGCATAGCGTCTGCTTTCCCCCTTGCATCTTGCATCTGTGCAGGGCTCTTTTAGCCTTATCAGGTCAGCTATGCATTTTGATGCTGCCTCCCACAAACCTCTGGCTCTGGTAATGTGTACAGAAGGTTGTGGTGGCACATCCCCTGGGCCCAGCCCGTCCCCACCACTCTCCACGTACAACTCAGGCGAAGCTGAACGGAGCGTACCAGCTCATCCCGCCTTGCGCTCAATGTGAAGCATCACCCGAAAATGTCGTCTTTTTCTCTACTCACATCCAGTTAAGTCACCAACTCCTGCTGGCTTCACCTCCAAAACGCCGTGGAATCTACCCACTTTTTTCTGGCCACAAGATTACCTGCTCAGGCCCGCTACCATGACCTCTAACCTGGATTACACAGTCGCCTCGACTGGGCGCTCCTTCCCATTCGTTCTCCGCTGCGGCCAGAGTGAGCAGCCTTTTCGCAGGATACATCTCATCATGTCAGTCCCTTGTCAGGTCAGTGGCTCCCAACTGCCACAGGATGAAGTCCAGACACCTAAGCACGACCTGCCACCTCCTCTGTGTGCTGGCTGTCCTACCTCCCGCCGCTCATCTCAGCCGCTCTGAAGAGCCGGGCATGCTGAGCAGTGTTTCTGTCTCTCCGGACCTCGGGCCTTGGACCTGCTGTGTCGTGAGCGTGCAAACGTTCTCACTGGCACCTGCTCTCCTCAGCAGCTGCCTCCTCCCATCCTTTGGGTTTCCGTTTATGCGTCCCTCCCCCAGGAAGCCTTTGTAGACTCTGAGTTACTGGTTCTCTGCTATGCATTCAGCACCCACCCTCATCCTTTTGTGGCCTTTATACTTCTGTACTGTCATTACCAATTTACAGACAAACTTTCTAGATTGGTCTGTGCAGTTTTCAAGGGTCTGAATTTCTCATCTCACTGGGACCATAATGACTAGCACAGTGCCTGGTACAAAAAAAATACTCAACAACCACTTAGTAAATAAGGTGGGGATTTGCTGCACAGGAGCAAGAGAGAACTTTCTGTTTCATATTTTCTTCTCTTCCTTTTTGTTTTTTGCTTTGAGACAAGATCTTACTATGCAGTCCAGGTTGGCCTCGAACTTGCAGCAATTCTCCTGTCTCAGCCTCCTAAGTGCTGGTGTTTCATATTTTAATTGGGAGATAGTTACACAGGTGTGTGTGTGTGTGTGTGTGTGTGTGCGTGTGCATGTACATGCACTAAAACTTGTTAAACTGTATTGTTTTTTCCAAATTGTATTCCTAAAGCCCTTTTACTTTATTGTACATAAAATACACCTCAATAAAGTTGACTTAGAAAATATCTGGTAGCTGGGCATGGTGGCATAAGACTATAATCTCAGCATTTGAGAGGCTGAGGCTGAAGGATCACCATGAGTTCGAGGCCAGCCTGGGCTACACAGTGAGTTCAAGTCCAGCCTGATCTGCATAGCGAGATCCTTACTCCAAAAAGCAAAAAAAAAAAGTATAGGACAGCATTTCTGACCCTCCTTTCACAATCGGCATCAGTGCTGCCCTTTTACTATCACAGCCCCCAAACACCTGTCCCTGCTTGCCCAGATCCTGAGACTTACTGGGTCCTGTTCCAACTTCTTTCCAGTGTCTATCACAGCTTGTTTTCCTTCTCAGTTCCTCTGCTCTAATCCCACCTACTCCCTTAATCCTAAATGATTACACAGCCCTCTCATCAGTAACACAGTGGACCATTGAATTATGATCGGCCTGACTTATGAACAACATGGGTTATAACTGGAATTTTAGTTTTGACTTATGACCAAAGTCTTGCGTTATAACCTGAAGGCCGGCTAACTGTGCTTCCAGATGGTCTCAGTTACAGATGTAACCCTTAAAGAATTCTGAAAGAGCTGGGAGTGGTGGCACATGTCTGTAATCCCAGCACTTGGAAGGCTGAGGCAGGAGGACCGCTATGAGTTTGAGGCCCGCCTGGGCTACACAGTGAGTTCAAGGCCAGCCTGAACTACACAGTGAAACTCTAGCAAAAAGACCGAAAGAGTTCTGGAAGGAACAGTACAATATCCTTCCCTGTTAGGGTCAGGAAAAAATCCTGGGTCAATGTCTCTCTAATGACACTGAGATCTACCTATGTACGGGAGACTTTGAAGGCTATGTAGAGGAGCCTGAGCCGTCACTGACATCCTGGGTTACAACCAGCCCTTGGGAATGAACTGAGTTTGTAAATCAAGAGTCCACTGTATCCTCTGCTTCTGTCTTTCCCACTCCCAGCTTCTCCTGACTTCTGCTGAGGTAAAACTTTTTAAAAATTCTACTTTGGCACATTGTATTTCTGCCTTTAATAGTTCTAGTTGTTCTTTTATTTTTGAGACAGGGTCTCACTAGATAGTTCAGGCTGACCTTGAACTCACTATGTAGCCCAGAATGGTCTTCAATTCGAGGCAATCCTCGTGCCTCAGCCTCCTAATGCTGAATTACAGGCATGCACCACCCTGTCCAGTTTTTTCTAATTGTTATTTTCTTATTATTTTAAATTTTTTCTTCTGGTACCAGGAATCGAACTCACGACCTTGCACTTGCCAGGCAGGCGCTGTGCTGCTGAGCTAAATCCCTAGGCCCTCTAATTGTTCTTAATAGTTAAGACTTCTTCAGTGCTAAGCAGGAACCAGGTACTATGCGGCTATGTTTTATATATCTCAGTTACATCACTGGCTCAATGAAATAGACGTCATTATCATTTTAGATGAGAAAAATGGGAGCTCACAAAAATTAAGTAGCTGGATCCAAGGCCACACTAAGTAAGTGGTGAAGCTAAGACTTGAAACCAGGTTAATATTTGTTCACTCTCTTAAAAAGTAGTTTTCAACTTTGTTGTGTTTTCAATGTTAGCAGAACTCCCGTCTCAAGATCCGGCACCAAGAGCCCCAGGTAAAACCCAGAAAAGCAAGCATACTCTGCCAGCCCTGGAAAAGGCTGCAATGTAGCCCCTGGGTCTCCCTTCAAACTTAGCTCTTGAGATACTTTTCTGCAAACTTCTGTTGCATCACACACCACCCTTCTCTCGTGAAGTTGATTCTGTTTCACAGATACTGATCTTTTTCCTAGGCTCACTGGAGCTGGAGGTTCTCGGGAAGGCAGACCAAACTTCACACACGCTGGTGTGTGGGCCAAAGCCCCAGGGAGGCCCCAAGGGGGCAGGATGCACTACTCTTGGGGGCTAATTACAGAACGCACATGTGCAGTCAGTGCTGCGCAAACCTAGCACCGATCAAGATTTCTTTCAATCTCAAGATTCACTAATTCCAAACTTAAACGTCACAAGTGTACTAAGAGTCTGAGAGTTTTGCATTTCCCTATACTCCATCCAAATAACAGATCCAGACTCTGCTTTGTGTTTGCCCCAGACAACTCTTCCTTCTTGGTCCATTCTGAGAGACTGAGGTGCTGGACTAACCTACAGAACCAGACAGGAAGGGCAAATAAACAGACGCGCACAGGCGGTACACAGGAGTCTCACACAGGCAGGAGGTAACATCTTTGTGGACCAACGTGGGAAGTGGAAGAGGAATAGGATGGATGAACAAGATGAATAACAGCACATCTGTGGGCTGCCCTACGCCAGCAGTGAGGGGAAAAGTGTCTTTCTGGCTTTGTCACACTAATCCAGAACACCTTTCAAGGGCAGCCGGACCTGTCCTGTCTCCAATATGAGAAAATAAAGATTTCTATCTTTGTGTTTAAGGTTCTCTGCTTTTATACACTGTAAAGATAAGCAGGGTGTGGTGGCGCACACCTTTAATCCCAGCCCTCAGGAGGCTAGGGTAGGAGGAATGCCATGAATTCAAAGCCAGCCTGGTCTACACAGTCAGTTGAAGGCTGGCCTGAACTACATAGTGAGACCCTGTCTCAGAAACAAAACAAGCCGGTGGCTCACGCCTGCAATACCAGCACCTGGGAGGCTGAAGCAGGAGGACTGTTGCAAGTTCGAGACCAGCCTGGGCTGCAAAGTGAGCTTAAGGCCAGCCTGAACTGCACAGCAAGACCCTGCCTCAGAAAGACAAAGACAAAAACAAAACAAAACCAAAACAAACAAAACAAAACCAACACCCCCCCCCAAACTGTAAAGATAAGTTTCACAAAACCATTCTCTAGGAAGCGGACTGCCTTCCTGATAATGTTCACTACAGGAAGAGTTGAGCTCTGAACTGGGAAATTCTTGAACAGTGACTTGCTCTGAAGCTGGAAGGAGGAACCTACATCCACACAGCCATTTCCACTACCGTATTTCCTTCATCCACAGTTGTGCCCACCCAAGGCCTCCTAAAGCCTGCCCTCCCCCCATGCCTAGAACCCCTCCAGCTTTCACTGCTCCGTTTGTCCAGACGCACAGCTGCTGGGAGAAGAAAGGTCCCTAGCTAGGAGCTTGGCAGCTCCCCCATCTGGGCAGACCCTTACCCTCCAATGCGTACTTCATATCCTGGGCAAACAGATGCCAGATCACTTCTGCACTGACTTTTCCCACGTTCAATTCCTGAGGAAACCTGGACGACAGAAGAAACCAAGTCAGAGAACAAGACAAGACGCATTTGATCTGACTCATTCCAAGGAACCTAGTTCTTGAAGGTCACACTGAAGACAAAAAATGCCTGGGAACAGGCCTAAGCTCAGTTTGAGGGAAGGAGGCTGTTGGCAGGTCAAGTGGAGGCAAAGGGAATCCCTGTGGCAGGGTGGGCTATGGAGAAGAACGCCCAGAAGACAAGAATTCAAGCCCAGAAGCAGGCGTGAGACAGGCCCAAATGAACGAGGAGAAAGGGGAAGTGGACGGGTTCTAAGAAGCCCCCTCCTCCCCCACAGTGGACAGACACATGCACACATGGTCTCTGCGTGCCAGAAGGCTCCTACTCCAGAGCCTGACTCAGTCTGAGCAGGGCCCCCATTATGTTTCCACACCTGTCTCCAGAATCAGTTACCCAGACAGATACAAGGGACAGAGGGACAGACGAACGGACAGGAAGAGGAGGTGGCACTGTAAACACACAGAGATAGGAAAGAAAGAGGCTGTTAGGCAGGTGGACAGACCAATCACCACCCAGGCTGGGCCAATGAGGCTGATACTCACTGGTTCAGCACAGGGGCATAGGAATTCTTATCTTCCTCTATGATCGACACGATGAGTGTGATGAGCTTGGGCCAGAAGTCCAGGTTCCGAATGCTGGGCCCTTGTTCTTCCGGAGGCAGCTCCTGCTTCTTGTTCCAGAGGACCCGAGGGAAAGGGAGACGTGGAGAGGGTCTCAGGTCTTCCTCTTTCGGTTCTCCTCCAGTACCCGCTTTCTTAGAGTCAGGGGCCCTCCTTCTCCTGAAGCCCGTCCTCCACAAGACTGGCCCTCTTCCTGAGGCGTCCTGGAGAATTTCCCTCCCCGGCTTGGCCAAGCTCACATTGTTGTAAACAGCAGAGCCAAGGTTTGGGCCCGGAGAGACGAATTCTAAAGCCTAATTAAGTTGCTGCCTTTTCTTAAATTAACAATTCTACGCCTCCAAACATTCTATTTCCTCTACGTGGTACCCCCAGCCCTTTTTTTGAGCTAATTTGTTCTTCCTTACTATCCAGGTAGAATTTTACTTCTGAGAAGTTTTCCCTGATAGCCCTGATCTGGGCAGATGTCCTTCCTCTGTTACCCACTAGCACGGACACATTAGACAACTACAATTAAACGTAATAATAAAGGGATAGTAACTGTCACTGTCGTCATTTGCCCCACCTCCGCCAAACAATTTGCTTCCCAATGGCACAGATGACTGTTACTCAGCTTTTATCTCTAATGCTTTATTTTTTAGGTGAATGGATTAATGAACCAATGACAGAAGGTGAGTAGAGGAAAATGTTAAAAAAATACCCTACAGGTTTACTACAGTATAAACACTGAAAAATGAGAAGGTAAGTTCGAGAGAAAGTAAAAAGCAACTAGCAAAATACAAGCAGGCCCTTCAGTGGTTTGCAAGCCTCCTCAGCTGCATAGCTGAAAGATCAAAACTGAGAACAATGCCTTCCCAGTCAACGTCTCACTATCACATTGCTGACAGAGGAGCCTAGAATGTAGTTAGCAAAATAAAGTCCCTCGGAAAACCTCCCATGGATGTCAGAACCAATGGAAGGTTTGATAAGCCCAGGAGAAAGCCTTAAATGTTTGGCTCGTGCAAAAAGTACATCTGGGGATGAGAGGAAGCAGCACGAACAGTCTTAGAGCACGGAGGAAGCATCACAAATGGAACGTACCCTTTAGCGTAAGTCAGTGGATTTGGGCTTCGACCTTTCAATGTTTATCTCAAATGTCCCTTGTTTTATGTAGTTTTCCCAATATCTGGTCATATTCTTTGTCCTTGGAATCCCTTTAATCTTACTGCTCTGCAAGCCCCTTCTAACAGACTACTTTGCTTGAAGTTACACTGATGCTCATGAAACTGTGAACTTACTGAAGGGGCACTGCTTCCCTCGAGCTGGCTTAGAACAAACATTCAGTATATACCTCTTGGACTGAGAGAAATCTACTGTAAATGCACAGTGAGAAAGACATTCCTAAGACAGGAGCTATAACTGAGTAACTGGACTCAGAACGAAGTCCTGGCTTTGAAATGAGAGGGAAAAAAAGGAAAAGATGTAACCGGAAGGATCCAGAAAAATGTACTAAGTCGCCACGTACTGAATTAGAAAAGCTATCCTAAAATAGGTGAAGTGGCTCAGTCTCACAGAAAGATAGGGTCAGTCTCAAGAGTCAGCTGGTGAATATACAATGGTACCTCAGTTTATGAACTGAATTTGTTTTACAAATTTGGGGAGGATGGCTGTGTTTGTGCTTGTGTAGGGAAGATGGCTGTGGTGGTGTTTGTCACCTGACATGGAATTTGTGAATGGAAGCAAAATTTTGCTGAACGCTTCTGCTTGCAAACTGAGGTATTACTATATCTCAGAAGAACATACGCTGAAGGCAGATATGACCAAGACGAAAAATCTTTCACAAACTAGAGCTCAGAGAGACAGCTACAGATTTCAGAAGAAGAACACATGTAACGTACAGTGGTCCACATGAGTCAGAAAGAAATTAATCTTAAGTGAAAAAGAAAAGACTCTGGCATAAAGAGAACTCTACCATTCAACCAACCCCTGGACCATGCTCAAATTTAGGTTTACTTTGCTCTGTTCCAAAGTAAAGCTTATCGTTGTTGCTCTTTGCTCAACTCAGGTATGTAATATTTTGTCCAAGGGTCCCTGTCAATCCACAAATGCCTTTCACAATCTAAGTGTTCCACACTTCTCAACTCAGTCTCCCGTGAGAGTAAGGACTCTGGCCTGAGCTCCTTTCCACCACGATGCTGGCAAGGAAAAGCTGAAGCTTCCAAGAGCCACTGTCAGCTGGCCTCACCTGATCCTGAACCTCTTTCTTATGCCACCATGCCCAGCAGATCCCCAACCTCTTACCAGCTGGTACTGGTGGCTGTATAAGTCATGGCAGTTGTTGAAGATATACTCATATGTAGAGTTCAAGCAGGCCTTCACACAATCCTTTACCACCTGGCTGGCTCTTGGTGGACTCTGAAGTTCCTGCACCTGCCAATTAACAGACGTACAGCTCAGGATCCTGCTCTCCTCCGTGGAATTCCTTCCTAAAATTCTCCCAAATCCATTCCAGGTTCCTTCATCCCTTTCTGTCCCTAGACCTTCCCCTGTGGTAAAACTGAGGCGAGCTATGGGGAGAACTTCCAGACCACCCTTGTTGAATCAACTTGTATGTGCGCCTCTCACACAGGGTTCGGAAATGTGAGCTCTGAGGTGACAAACTCTGTAGCCTCAGACTCTGCCCCGTAATTCTTATTCTGTTTTTGTGGCCAGGTCCTCCGTCCAGCACCAACCAGCCCTGCCCATCCTTACCTTCATTCTGAAGAAAGTAATGCTGGTCAGCAAGTCCACTGTGGATTTTAAATCCTGAAGTCGCTCAGGGCTCCCAGCAGGGAAATTATTCTGTTGCAAAGCAAGCAAATGTAAGAAATTAACACAGCAATAGGAAAACCTTTTCTACCAAAAACAATGAAATCAAGACCCACTGGGTATCTCTGTAGTTGAGCTAGGCAAAAAAAGCTATAACATTGTAAGTCTCCCTCTTTCTTTTTATTGATGCAGATAGGTCCTTGCTTAAAACAGAGATTAATAATCCACAGCTAGAAAAAAAAAGCAACACATCCAACTTCCCATGCAATGTGTGAGCATTTGTTCAAATGCGCACACACACACACACACACACACACTTCTTGGATGAAGATTCTCAACCCAGTGAATTCTCCAAAAGTCACAATCTAGCTGTATATCCTGGAATATAAGTAGAGCCACACTACAAACCCCAGGGCTGTTTTCTGTACGGTAGACCCCAGCTCTTCCCCTGTTCTGAGCAGAACTGCTTTGGAATGAGTTCCTTAAGACTTCCTGCACGCCTCACTTCATTCCCCTTGGCACGAGTTTTAGGAAGACTCTGTCATGGAGAGTTGAAGGGAGACACCAAGCCACTGCCCGCCTCTTCCAAGGTCAGTGTTAAAACATTCAAGTGGCTACTTATATATCAAAAATAAGATATACAGTCATTTCTCCATTATTCATGCAAAAGGGAGACACTGAAATACAGATAACTAAAATCTCACTTTTTTAAAACTTTGAGGTGATTTTCATAATTACTTTTTAATGTGTGTATATTGCCTGTTCTGGAAATTCACAACATTTTAACCAAGCAATGGAACTATGCTAAGATATCCTGCCCCATGTCCGGTATCTCCCCTTCTACTAAACTATTTCCCCCTCCATACTGGGAGTGGGCAAGATCTCTCAGGCAAGTTACTGTACTTGCCCAAGCCAAGCTTCTCTTTCTACCCCCCAGATTCTCATATCTCCCTGAAAGAATGAGAGCACAGAAAAATACAAAATGAAAATATAATTATCTAATTTTTTCTTTTAAAGATAAAAAACTAACAGAACAACAATGAAGACAATCAAAACAACACAAAAAACAACAAAAATGATACATGACCTCAAAACAAAATGATAGGAATTAACAATGGTTGCTACATTACATACTATTATCTTCAACGAAGTTGCTCAGTCCACCAGATGTAAGAATGTAAGAATGATCAAACAATCAAAGACAGTAACAAGTAATAAAAAAAAATTTAAAAAACACTGGAAATGATGCAGAGCTTCACCATACAAGATGGTAGGAGTTCAACAGTGGTTCTTATACTGCATATTGTTGTTTTCAGATCAGTCATTCTGATTACCAGATTCAAGTGTGCAAAATTGGTCAAGAAAAAAGAAAATTTAAGCATTGACTGGTTCTCTTAATAAACCACAGACATCAGCAATACACCTATCCCAGCTAATTTTTTCCTTTTAGAGAAAGGATCTTGCTATGTTGCCCAGGCAGGCCTTGAACTCAAAATGCTCCTGCCTTGGCCTCCCAAATAGCTGGGATTACAGGTGTGTGCCACCGTGCCCGGAAAGTACCTAATTTTTTTAAAGGTAGTTTTGGAAGAGATTATCATCAGGAAACTTGTAATGAAAATGTCACGAGAGAGTTCGGCAGTGATACAAACAGGGTTAGAAAGTCAACTGTCTATAGAAAGCAGCCATGCCTCTGGACACACTTGTGGTCCTCTGAGTTAGGAGCACCACAGATGAGCAGCCATACCTCCTGACCCACTCGTGGTCCTGAGTTGAGAGAACCACAGATGTTGGTGGCACTGCCGTGCAGGCGGGGATGCTGACACACACTAATTTTCCCTGCGTTCGCTCTGCATCCCCAGAGTGGCCTATGTCTTCCCAGACAGAACTTGACATTATGTGTTATCCCACCCAACAGCCATTGCTTTGACTTACCCTGTATGTGGAGAGATCGATCCTCAGCGAGTTGTGTAGCTGGTCCAGCAGTTTCACAAATCTCTCTTTCTGAGGATAAGAAACAAGCAGCAGGGAGGAGAGAGATAATCTGTTTCTGATGCCCCTAAACTACACACAAATAGAACCATTTCTGGATGAGTGGAAAGGGTGGGAAGGCAATCTCTTCTGGCTGGCAGCACACCCTATCCCATTCCAGCCATAGGGAGGACAGCAGACAATGCTGTGGAAAAATAGGTGGTCCCTGTTCCTCTCTTAGCAGCTCTATCTCAAACCAGGGGATCTTTTCACGGTTACAAAGGGAAAGCCAAGTCCTTGGGAGGGAACACAGCTCTTCCGTACACAAGTCAACAGAGCATTATCTGTGCATCTCTGTTCTTTCAGGGAGAACTCATCTCAGTCAGATGAAAGTCTAAGCATATTCTGCAGTTTGTTCCTGATAATGAGATCTCTTAACTGCTCTTGGGAAATGCATAGCAGGGGCACAGCCACAGCTTCGCAGTAATGATGGGGGGAAAAACAGTATCTGGAAGAAGGTCAGACAGACATAAGGAGAATCTCTCCTTAAATCACTTTCATTCTAGTTTCCCTTACCATGTATCTTTTCAATGCTAATATAGAACATATATGATTTTGAAAGCTCATTTTCATAAAAAAAGTATAATTACATGTGGAGTCATGTGCCTGAGAGGCTGGCATGAGTTCCTAGAACTCGTATACTGGTTATTATCACTAGATATCATGCCATTTCACACTGGGATGAGACAGAACAGGCATATGATTGACTTAATAAATTACATTAATTCATTTATAGAAAGACTATCAACAGCAAAAAGCGACACAGTACCAAAGCACAGGGTCAGAGGTTCAATGGACGGGGGATGGGAGCGAGTGATTTCATCCTTACCAAGGTAAGCTTTGTGATTGTACTGAATTTAGATCCAGTGCCGTCCTGGGTTATGACTCAACTTTGCAGGGGCACAAAAGGAAAAACAGTCTAGAAACTGGAAAAGGGGTAAGTTTGGGCGAACACTGTCGCCCTCCCTTAGATATCAGCCTGAACTGAAAAGGTATGAATCTGCCTCAGAGAAACTGAACAATACTAAGAAAGGCCCATTTGTGGGCCTGCAAGGCTGAGAAACCGGTGACTCAACCAAGCTTTGGCCCCCAGAGGCTCTTCCCGAGCCCCGGCGCAGCTGTCCTGGACTACCACAGCGCTGTCTCTGCTATGTGTCTGAGGAGAGCCTCTGTGAGTGTGGTCTATGCATCCACCAAGAGGGAAGGCTCATCTACCAAGCAGGGAGCATCTGAATTTTAGGCATATCAGTCAACTGCACAGAACTGACTAGGAAAAGTTTTTTAAAACTTCATGGATAACAAATGGATAGGATGTGCTCATGTCGTGCTCACCCCGAAGTTGGATGCTGCAAAGCGATCAGAGGCAGAGACATTAGTGGAGGCGGTTGTGTGAGCATAGTAGGCATTGATGTTGGCCAGCAAGGTGCTCATCACTGCGGGCACGCCAGGACACATGTACTTGGATGACAAGCATGCGAAGTGCCTGAAAAAGACAGCACCCCGCTCTTAAAAACTCTGCAGGGCTTGCAGCAAAAGCCAAGAAGGAACCCAGGAAGACTTGGCAGTCAGGGAACATGGCCAGGGCAGGCGCCATCCTTTGCAGGACGCTCCTTGTATCCAGCTCTAGCAGCAGAGCCAGACACTTGTCACAGCATTAAGGAATCCTGTCCCAGAGTCCTTGTTTTCTCCTCATTTAAACAATGACATGCAGTACTGGTCGACTCCATACACAGCTGCTCTCCCCACAGCTCAGTCTAGGACAGCTTGTTGGTCACCGCCCGTCTGCTTAAGCACACACGTCGGCCCAGCCTGTGTTGTCTGGACAGTCCCTCCCTTCCCTGAGCTTGGTCCCTGAGTTACTGACGAATACATATCTCTCTACATATACCCCTGCCTTGGAATGCACAGGAAAATACGGTGTCATACTGCGTGCTACCCCCATAAGCAGCCGTCTGTGTGAGCGGGCACTCATTAGCCACCAAGGGTTAGTAACCATTTCCCAGAGCCCCAGAGGAGCCTCACGTCATGGCCTGATATATGGACTCAATGCCATAGCGCATGGCAAATTCATCCACAATTTCTTGGGCTGTCTCATCAAAGTACACCTTCCACGCATCATCTCCTCGGGCCTCGGGGATCTGGACTCCTCCACTGCCCTGAATGTCTGTGAGGTAATGGAAAAGGTTCTGTAGGATACAGAGCAGAGAAAAGGAAAAGGTTAAATACACTTAAAAAAATACATTAAAAAAAAGGGCTGGGGATGGCAGTATATGCCTGTAATCCTAGTGCTCACAGCACTGTGGTAGTCCAGGACAACTGCGCCGGGGCTCGGGAAGACACTCAGGAGACACGGAGTTCAAAGCCTACATGGACTTGGACTACACAGCGAGACACTGTCTCGAGAAACCAAGATAAACAAAAACCAAACCAAACCCAACCCAGCCCAAAGCCTTGTGGTAAAATCCAAGAGAATGTGAACTGGACTCTGTGGAAATTCTGTTCTTCAAGTCACTGCTCAGCTAGCTCCTCCCACAGCCCTGTAGGCTGTTGTCACATTAGTGAAAGAGAAACAAGACTGGGTTCAGCCTCCTGGGCCTGCCAGGGGAGCACATAAGTCACGGACAGAGCAAAACTCAGGCGCAGAACCTGAACCACTTAGCAACCCTCCTTATGGTCAAGGGCCCTCCCTGCCCCCGGGCCCCTCCACTGACAGAGGGCCGCTCACCTCGTGGAGGCATGTGTACTGCACATGGTATGGGGCCACCTTCTCCTCCCCCTTGATCTCCACACTGATCTGCAGTCGGATAGCTCCTGAGACAGCTGACTTGTCTGTCCTCTTCTCTGGAAAGGAAAAGGACTAGAGATTGACATCAGTGCAATTATAGAGTACACACAGGTCTGTCCTGGCTTACCAAAGAGAACAGGCAACAACCCAAGTGTTCAAACAACAGGGGACCTCACTCCAGTGCCCACACACCCATAAACATCCCTCCACTGGCCGAAGGGAGGGTCCCAAGTGGCAGGGAGTTAAAGGCATTAGGGAAGGGGAGGAAGACTACAGCACCCTTGGAAACCTTGAGAACGTTCAGCGGAGTGGCTTCCCCACAGTTAGCTCTCAGAAGGTGAGACAAGCTCTTTAGGAGGAACGCTTTTGGGACTAGTGAAGTTTTCCCAGGTCCTTCCCCCATAACACCTTCTTCTGGTCCAGCTTCCTCACCCAGGTTGTACCAGACGTCCATCTCTCCGCTCAGCGTGCGAACCTCGATGATGGTTTGGCCGAGGAAATCATCAGACTCACGTTTCAGCCGCTGCTTCACTCTTGACTTGATGTCGTCGTCCTCATCCCACACGCGCACCTTGATGCGGTCCGAGGAGTTGTGACACTCACTGGGAGAGAATTAGCAGGCTCCGTGAGGGACAGATCCAGCATCACCACGCCTACTACCTCCCACTCCCTCCCAAAAGCTGTCAGCTACACTTAAAGCCCCAAGAGGGAAAAGAAGGAGCCAGCAGCCAGTGGGTTCTACAGTTCCCAGTGAACTGAACTATTCCAGCAAATAGCTCTGCTCCTCAGCCTTGGTGGCTCTATGTTCAATTACCCAGTACTTACTGTCCTGGGACACAGTGCATAGTTAGGATCAATTCTGACTTCTTATGCAGCTAGCTGTATCAGCAGTATCAGCAGAACAACAGCTAGCTATGTCATGGAGCCTTAGGAAAGCAATCGCTAGCTCCCTCCTTAGTCTGAGGTATAAAGTCAGTAGAGGTGGAGATGTGCTGGGTAAGTCCACCCTCCTGGCTTTCGTCTAACTCCCTCTCTACATGCCTGCTGGACTTCTCTCTCCTGCACTAGCCCTTTGATCGCCATTCCCGCAGTGGTGCTTGCATTACAGGCATTGCCCAGGTCCCCCTTCATGCTTTTCTCCCCAGCAGTTGCTTTCCAGATCCAATTCCATTACCCAAAAGTTGTTCTCAGCAAAATTTGCTTATGTTTTCATAATATTTTTCTGCAAATACTATCATTTAACTACTGGTCTACTAAAAAATATAGACAAATGGACAATGAGTTTCTCGAAGCTACAGACTGTCTTGCTCATTTTGTGATATACAATATCATGTGTAGTGTCTTATATAGTACAGGAACTTAAGTTTACTCCAAGTGGACAAAAATGACCCTAGAGCCAGTTCATTTAAAGTTGGTCATAAGTATCTGAGCAGAAACCACTTACATCGTCAAACAGCTGCCTGTCCCAATCACTACTGCCCCTGGATTGGATTTCACTGTACCCCAATTCTTTTCATGAATTCTCCGAGCAGCCGACAGGCAGGTTCTACATAACCAGCCTGCTCACTGATTCAGACCCCAAATCTTGATCCTAGACCTTGAAAGTGGGCAGATAAAGGATCTGGATTCTCCAGATATTGAGTCCTAGGCTGCAGTTCTCTGTTTTTCAAATCCACCCTTTCCTCATATGAAAAATATAAAGAAATTGAGATAGAGAAAAAGGAACAGAGACGGAAGCCAAGGCAGGAAGAGAAGCTTCTCTTATGGAAAATGGAAACTTCTCCAGAACCCAGATTTCTATTTACAAACCAGAATGATCCTGTTGTAGGACAAAGATTCTTTCCTTACTCCTCAGAAAAGTCCAATACTTTCCAGGCAGGGAGGCAGGGCTGAGAGACACAATAGGGTGGGCGATCCCTGGTTTAGCCAGTGAGCAATAGTAGTCTCTCTAGCACTAGAAAAGGAATATGTCTAAAACTTCATTTTATTTTTAAAAAACCCACATCCCTTTTATCTATTCATCAGTTGACAGGCATTTGGGCTGTTTCCAAGACTGAGCTATTACAGACTGTGCTGCTATAAACATGGGTGTGCATCTGTCACTGTGGAACGATGCTTTTAATTCTTTCAGGAAGATACCAAAGGGAATAGCCGGGTCAAATGGAACCTCTACTCCTAGTTTTCTGAGGAATCTCCACACTGATTTCCCCAGTGGTTGCACCAGTCTACACTTCCACCAACAGTGGAAAAGTGTTCCTTTCTTCCTATAGCCCTGCCAGCATTTGTTATTGGTTAATTTCTTAAGAACAGTCATTCTTTCTGGGGCAAGATGGAATCTCACCATTGTCTTAATTTACATCTCTTGAATGACCAGTGATACTAAACATTTTTTCATATATTTATTTGCCATTTGTACTTCTTCATTTGAGAAGGGTGCATTCACCTCAGATGCCCATTTTTGAATTGGGTCTTTACATTTGGGAGGTCTGATTTTTTTTAGTCCTTTACATATTTTAGATATTAGTCCTTTGTCTGAGGAACAGCTGGCAAAAATTTTTTCCCATTCTGTTGGTTGTTTCTTCACTCTGTTGGTGTTTTCTTTTGCTGTGCAAAAGCTTTTTAATAAGATGAGATGCCAGTTGTTGATTCTTTGTAATATTTCCCTTGCCATCAGGGTTCTGTTCATAAAGTCTTTGCCTACACCTATGTCTTCAAGAGTTTTACCTATTCTCTCTTTTGGCAGATTAAGTGTTTCAGTTTTAATATTTAGATCTTTGGTCTGTTTTGATTTTAGTTTAGTGCGTGGTGAGAAACATGGGTCTAATCTTAGTCTTCAGCACGTGGAAAGCCAATGGAGTACTACTGGGCCATACAGAAGGATAAACTTGAGACATTTCTAGGTAAATGGATGAACCTGG